AACCACTTTACAGAAATTAAAAGTTCCGAAGAGCTCTCACGCTTCTAACACGGCCTCCCAGGGCAGTCTTATAAAGATAGAAAGCAGGTAACAAAAAAAAATTACAGCTGCTGGTGAAGTAAACGTTCATGCAACAAATACTGCCGTGTACAGTGCTGCCTGCCCGCTGATTTGGAAAAGATCGAAGAATTAAAACACCGGGGACAGCCGCTGAGAACACAAGCGCGGGGTGCAAGAGAAACAACCGGGATCACCCCCGCCCGAGGTGCCCGTGCGGTAGGGGCCCGGCGGGCTCCGTGGAAGTCGCGGGATGTGGGGCCAACACCCGACGTCCCGGACGGCTGTTACCGCTCCAGGGGCTCAACCCCGCGGACGGCCGTGCCGGGCCGCGCACGGCCATCGCCTCGGCCCATATCCCGAGCCCTTCCAGCGGCCGCTGAGTACAGCCGGCCACACGTGGGGCCGCCCAGGCCGGGCCCCGCCGCCACCTCAACTCCCGCCACTTCTCCCGACCTTAGGGAGCCGCTCGCCGCTCGGCTCACGGACTCACCGAGACTCCCGGCCCATGCTGCCGGCTGCAGGAAAGCTCCTCCCCAGGACGCCCAGGAAAACTGGACAAAGGAGGAAGCCGCACTGCACAAGGGCGCCGGTGAGGACCAGCACTAAGAAGCGACAGCAGCCATCCCAGCGGGGCCAACGAAAATAGGACGCGCTGGGCCCGGCGGCAGAAGGAAGGAAACAGCCGGCCGGAAGCTGCTGCCTCCCCACAGCGCCGCCTCGCGGCCGGAGGGCGCGCAGGGCCGGCCAAGCCACCGGGTGGTGGGCTTCCCAGCCCAGGCGGGCAGGTTGGCGCGCCCCTGGGCTGCAGCCCTAGAAGCGTCTTTGCTGCAGAGTCACCTGCACATCCTGGGCAGCTTGCTGACGTGCCAGGGCATGCATTTATGCCCAGCTCAATCTCCGCTGAGTAGTGCTCCGACCTTCTCGGTACGCACTTGATTCATTACAACCTTATTTCCTTCTGTGTTGTGTCCCCTGCATGCGCTAGATTTCCTAAGGGGTTTACAGTTGTGTGAGTGAAATAGTACATGATTGAAAATAGAATAAAAGTGAGTGTAATAAAGGAAAGTCCACACTGTCCAGGAAAGAGCTCCCTGATGGCTAAGGGAAGTTTTGACTTGCAAGCAAGAGTTGAAGTCCTTAAAGTAGTTAACCCAGTGAAGAGAAAGTTAAAAATATATTGGGAAAAAGTTGTAATACTTTTAACATTGCCTACACTGGGAAGCTTTGCGGGCCGTGGGGTTTCTGGCTTCCACCGATGGTCTAAAGAGCTTCTTCCATACTGAAGATTTGTAATACCACTAAGTGATCCTGAGGCCAAGCATGAGAAGAAATGGTCTCTCTTTTTTGTTGTTGTTGTTGTTGTTGTTGTTGTTGTTGCTCGAATGCCTTCAGGGCACTTTTGGCCAGCGGGAGAGGTGTGAGGTTCAACTCCAGCAACCTGAGGCTGACAGCTTTGTGGAAGCAGCCACTTAAAGGCCTGAGCTAGGGCCAGGCCCCCAGGAAATGGTCTCTTGAAAGACCCACCAAAAAGTATTGAGAAAGCTGTAATAAGTTGGGGAGAGGCTTTCATTTTTCTCTTATATGCTTCTCTATTTCACATTTTTTTTTTAAACACCTACAGATGACAGAAAGTTCTCTGTCTCAGTTGTGGCAGTCATGGCATGGATGTACATATTTGTTAAAAGTCATTTAACTATACAGTTTAAATCAGTACATTTTATTATGTATAAAGTTTTACCTTAAAAAAATTGATCTTGGGATGGGTGTGGAGGCAAAGTGTAATCCTAGCACTTGGGAGTCTGAGGTAGGAGGACTGCCTTGCGTTTAAAGCCAGCTTGGACTACATACTGAGTTCAAGGCTAGCACACACTACATAGTCAGAAACTGTCTCAAAATAAAATAAAATAAAGTTGGTATTTTAAAAAGAGCCCTATCTCAGAGGAGAGAACCACTAGTAGAGACAGGAAGTGGTCAGATTCTGAATGTATTCTGGGGGCAGCTCTCAAAACATGAATTGAATTGAACTTGAGCTGAGGGAACAGGAGGAAAACAACTCCCAGGATTTGAACTAGGCGGTTGCAGATTGAGGTGAATGTGTGAAGAAATTCCATGTGGGAAGCAGATCCGGGGTGAAGGGAGACACAGTGGGTGAGAAATGGGTCAGAAGCATCTAGTAGCAGGCATAATATACCTGGTATTCACAGCCCCAGAGCTGGGTGAGGCCATGCAAAGTGAATAGACTAACTTTTGAATTAGCAATTTGAATACTGCCTGTCACAGAATTAATGTTACAGCTGGAACATTTTTTTCTGTATTTTTTAGGGAATGGTCTACAGGGTATTCCACCATGCCCAGTCTCAATCTTGTCTCAGCACGCACCAGGGGCAAGGCCGGCATGGCAGGCCAGGGGATAGAACCCCCGGCCCCTGCGCCTGCTTGCAGACTGGAACAGATTTTTAAATCACATAAATACCCTGATTTTAAGTTAAAAAAAGCTGAGGCTTAGGAAAACATTTAGTCCTAGACCACTAATTGTGTCATAATTTAGGCTGGAATTAGGAGTCTAAGCCCTGACAGTTTGTCGTATTTTCACTCTCCTTTGAGAGAACACATTAACAAGGCAATTTTAACTGGCACAAATATCTCATACTCATGACATTCAAGTGGCAATTTCACAGCACTCCAGTGTCCTGGAAGCTTTTACCCACCGGTACAGGTCAAAGGCAGGATTACAGTCTACTCTGTTTCCAATACATTATCAGCAAACTGCCCTATCTTCCAAAGCAGCAGACTTGATTCCAACTTGAGTATATGATAGCCCTCTTGATTACCAGTGGTGATGCACATATGTCCTTTCACACTAGTTACTGAGGGACTGGGTTGAAAGACGTCATCTGTAAACTTTTGTCTGTCTACTTTGAACATACATTTCAAAACCCTGACATCTCCAAGTAGTACTTAAAACGTTTTATTTTTATTATTTTTTCTGTGTTTGTGACTGGCTCAGCCACCCTGGGGGCAGGGCTGGCATGGCATGTGGTGCCCAGGACTGAACCACAGTCCCTGAGTGCTTGCCTAAGCAGGCACTTTAGACAGTGAGCTATCTCACCAGCCCAGCTCTCTTGCTGGTCCTTGGAACATTTTAAACAGTAATAAACTTCTACTTCCATTTAATATTATTTAACAAGGAAATTAATGGGGGATGCTAATCGTTGAAGAGGAAAAAAAATGGCTTAAGGTCTTCTCTTTAACATGTAAGTGTAGCAGCATATATCAACTGGTTGAACAGGGACTTTAAGAAACAAAAGCATTAAAAACATGCAACTAAATCCCAGTAGTGTCCTCCTAGGGATAAAGGGTAGACGTCACAATTCTAAAGCTCTTAATAAGCTATTTTGTTTTCTGAGACAGGCCTATGTAGCTCAGGCTGGCCCTGAACTCACTTCTTGTCCCAGGCTGAGTCCTAACACACAGCAATTCTCCAGCCTCAGACTCCCACATTCTAGGATTGCAGGCATGCACCACCATGCCTGGCCACTAGTTCTATCTAAAGAGTAGGTTCATTATGAAATCAGAAAATGTTCATGTTTGTAATCTTATCTCAAAATCCAAGAAAACATTTATATTCTATTTCAACATAAAATGACAAAAATCAAGACTTAGTCATAATAAAAAAGTAGTTAAGTCCTCAATTTACATTTAACTTTCAGATAGACCTCACATTACATTTTGTAGATGCGAATTAATCACAGTAGCTGGTGCATCTAACATTGTCTGTTGTGCTGCTGTGTGACAGTGAGCAGTAGTGCAGTGCTTTTTGGTTTTTTGGCGGAACTGGGGATTGAACTCAGGTCCTTGCACTTGCCAGGCAAGTATGTATTCTACTGAGCCATCTCCCCCGCCCCAGTAGAGCAGTGCTTAATCAGAGCCCAGGAGGTCCACAAACAAGAGGAAAAGCAACGGGTGATGTGCAGGGGACTGCCAGGAAGCACGGGTTACATAGTGTATTTGTCAAAGGTGTGTAAAACTCACTTTGTTGGACTAATGAATCCAACTTACTAAGGTTCTCCTGGAACAGAACTTGTTAAGTGGGGGACTCACTGTATTTTTAACATTACACAGCTTAATTTGGGGAGGGCTTCCGGGTTAGCTCAGTTTTTTAAGCACCTGCTGGGGCAAACCCAGTCAGGCGCAGGGGACCGTGGTTCAATCCCCAGCTCCCCATGCCTTTACCAGACCCGCCCTTAAAGCAGCCTGAGCCAGCCAAAAAAAAATTCTTAACATCACACAAATTAACCAGATTGTACAAATCTGTAAGGAAATATAAGGCTAAGTGACATGCCTTAAGTTTTATACTCTCTTAAGAAGACAAACCTTCCAAATATGACATTGTTACTGAATTAGATAAAAGGATATTTATGCTAGTGGTCTGCATGTCTAGATTATTCAGATCCTGTTTTTAATCATTCTCTTCTAGTTTACTCTAAAAGCATACTTCTAGGACTAGAGGTGAGGGGTCAGTGGCATTGCACTTCTCACTAGAACACATGAAGCCCTGGGTTTGTTGTAAACAAGCAAATATACTGCTGAACTTCTGACAACTGAAAACTGAAAATGGAAAATTTCCAGTCCTGATCATGCTGTGACATATGGCAAATAAGTTAACAGCTTCTAATTTCAAACGTACAACAGTGCTAAGGACAGAACCCACCACCTTGCATTTGCTAAGCTATATTGCTGGCCCACGTTTCTTTCTTCCTTTTTAATACTGTGGATCAAACTCAAGACCCTGAACTTACCAGGCAAGTGCTCAGGCCTCCGAGCCATCATCCCCACCCCCCACATTTGTTTCCTAATTATTTCTTCCATTAAATATTGTGCTGACATAAAAATTAAAACACTAACTCAGACAGAAAAGGTTGTTTAAAATCTGCAGATTTAACATTAAGTCAACCCAGTTTTTTTTTTCATTTTATTTTTAAGATGGTTTCAATTCTCAGGACAGGATGACACAAATACAAGAAGCTATCCACCCGTAGGGATAGGTGAGACTGTATTTATCTGCTCTTCTAACATCACTAACTCAGCCCCCAAAAAGGAATACAAATCTGGGAAGTTAGAGGAAAGATATAGACTAGGGAGTATAATTAAACAAGAGAAATCATCAGTATCACTGGTACTCTGTTCTTCAGAGCAGTACTAATACAAACTCAACCCTTTCAAACCAGTGAACTAGTCATTCCATTCCTAGTAGTGTTATAATCTCTACAAAGTAAAAGAAATACATAAAGATGATGTAAACCAAGTTGCCTCTTTCAGAGACAATGTAATACAGAAGAAATAGCTTTTTTAGCTTCTTCTGAGTTCTGCATGCTTCATGGTACTTCAGGGCCCCAATAATCAAGCAGCTCATGACAAAAGATAAAAGTGAAAAAGTAGACACAAAGATCTGTGAAGACTTCTCCCATTTTGCTATAAGTATCCATTGATCGGTTGATCACTTCGGCAGGAATTCCAGACAGTAGAAGTGCAGCCGTTAGGACTGTTGTCTTTATCTTCTTTTCACCCTGTGAAGAAAAAGACTCAAATGAATGATACAGCTTTCAGCAAACCAGAGGAGCACAGTAAAAATGTTATTAATAGTATTATTTTTGCTTAACTGATTTCAAAACTGTTAATCATGTCAACAGGCACCAAACACATAATAATGTAACTCAGTAGGCTGCTAGGTAATTACATTCTTGTAACGAAGTTTTCAAATTGTGTCACCTTAGGGACAAGACACAAATAATAATTTAAAATACGTATGATAGCATAAGACAAAGAACAGGAAAAACATTTCTAGTCAGGACATAACTACTGATAAATAACATGGACAAAGTGTGGCATAGGGGCTTAATGGAGACAGGTAACTGCTCTAGTGTTCTATGTAAACAAAGCTAAATAAAGCACAAAGAATGATTTCAGAGGCAATAGAAAACAGGACTTCCTTCTAAATTAAATTAGAAAATAATAATTAAAAAAGACAGCCAAATAGCTCAGTGGATTAAAGCACCTGCAAACAAGCACAGGGGCTGGGGGTTCAATCTCAGGGACTGCTGTCCCAGCCACCGGCCACTGGCTGCCGGCCCCCACGCTCCTCACCCCCCCACCCCCATACACTGAGACAGCCATTGAGACTAGGCGTGGTGGCGCAGTTTGTAATCCCAGCACTTGGGAGGCTGTAAATAGGATAATCACTACAAGTCTGATCTAGTAGTGAGACCCTGAACACCCTGTAGACCCTTCCCTAAAAATACAA